TGAAATGATGACGTCAATCGTGCGTCTGTCCTCTAATAGATCATAGGCGAGAACCAATCAAAATGCGAGAATAACTTGGGTTATTATATAATTAACAATAGATTATGAGCTCGAGGTTTCTATCGCGTGATTGTTGACAGGGGCGCAGCCCGAGTCAACTATCACGAATAGATATCGAGAGCAAATAATCTAATTGTTTCAGTATAAATCTACTAGTCGTTCAAAACTTTATCTAAATACTCCTCACAGACACCTCGAAACCTCTTTTAACCTCTATATGCTTAGAAAGTTTCCCCAGCATTCACCTTGAAGAGCAATTCGTGGTATCCTTCAACAACACAGAATATGGATAATTCTGCTCCGGCTTCTAACTATCTAGAGTCGGCATATATAATGGACGTTGAAGTAGAATCCGGCAAGAGTGAAAGTCTTTCATTGTACTGCCAAACTCGAATTTTTGCTGTTGCACAACCATTTAAAGATTATCACTAAAAATCAGTGATAATCAATAGGAATTAACACATTGTCTGAGTGGGTATTGATTATTATTATTTGGTCAGATCAATCAATATCAGTCAATTAATTTTTATTAACTATGTTGACTGGCAATCAATGATTAATTTTCATTGATTTTCGTGTAGATTTATTTGAGGGAAAAGCTTTCAAAGAGCGAAACGTGGCGAACAGCAGCCTATCCTCTGTGCTGGGTTCGATCGGGGCTTCAGCCGCCAGCGCGATGTTCGCTTGGACCTTGGAAAAACATTCCTCTGGCACCCAGGGCACTATTTTGTGTAATTACGAAAGAACCCTTGTGTTATATAAACCATTTCCATAAATGGCTGCCAATCATAAATTATTTTGTAAGTATTAAAATTAGCCTTACTAACCTCCTTTTTGATATGATAATTCATAAGAGTTTTTTTCTCTCAAACGAGTGTAATGAGGCTAATTTAAATGCATACAAAAGAACTTAAAATTAGTAGCCATTTATGAAATGGATCCATTTTGTACTGTCACAGTTCTTGAACAAGGCATTTGGCCTAGACCTGTACATCTCTCCACCCAGATGTGTAAATTGTGCTGAAGAGTTTGATAATGAAACACTTTTTGCGATAACGTACCACGCCTTTTAGGAGTAGTAGCAATAGTCTCAGTCAGGTTCTACTAAATAACGGCAGTTAGCGCTGTTAGCACTGCTACGCGACCTTAGAAAGCAAAACGCTCTTTACAATAGACTTCCGTGAATCAAACAGTGGTACCTTATATGGAATACTGGTCTGCAGAAACGGCTCCACAATCACAGCGGCGGACTCCCATATAAGAAGGGCGAGGTTACTCGTCGTGCCTTTTAGGGGTTAAAAATGCGATTTTGGTACCGCTTAGGGTATTCAGCCTCAAAAGATCCTCATCGGGAGCTTCTGCAGTACCTTTTAGTGTATTTAGCCAAAAAAAAAAAACATTCATTCAAAGTGGCTTATAATATGTAAGTGACATTAATTACATAGTTCATGATATTGGAACAATGTTTATCATGTTGATATATAGAGACAATCTCTTTAGTTTATTTATTTTATTCTTTTGATCTTCTAATTTATTTTATCACAGACTGTGATTCATTTTACTTTTTATTTCGTGGTAAATATGATTAGAATATTTTATTTGTGAATAGTTTCTTTATAATTAATTTTGTAAAGCGCATTTTAACATATTCATACGTTAATATGCGCTATAAAAGTACCATTATTATTATTATTATTATTATTATTATTATTATTATTATCATTATTATTAAAATATTGTGTCTTGTTTTAAAATTGATACCTCTTCGGTGTAAAAAATATTTTAAGCCACGCCCACAAAACAGGATCTTAATACTTCTTAGGGCTACTCCGACTGGGAACAAGCAACAATATAAAATAATAGCTACCTTTGCTGTTCACATTTAAACCAACTAACATTTTCGCGTCAATTTGAAGTCGAAACCTCCCTTTGTAGACATGAAAGGTACCGCTGTTTGATTGACGGAAGTCTATTGCAAAGAGTGTTTTAATTTCAAAGGTCGCCTAGCAGTGAAAATAGTGGTAAGTTTGCCACTTGGTACGTCTTATTAGTTTTAATATAGCATTGTAAGTTTTCATGTCTACTCGCTTAAATCAGTCTCTGGTCAAGATTATCGGAGAACATCGTCATCGTCATCACTTCCTTGAGATCCTGATGAAAGTCACTGAGCTGGTGGTGCAGAAACAGAGCCACATGAAGTCTGTTATTCAAGTCCCAGCTTCTATGCATACACTGACAAAATTTCTGTACTTGTGAAAGAGAACGGAGGCCGAGCCATTGCAAGTTGAGTAGGAGTTAGTGTAAAGTAATAGATCCCGAGAATTGTTCAAGAACACGTGTAGAAAACTATACAGTGAAACTTGTATTAAGCGGATAATCTTGGGTCCCTCACTAGTGCTTAATACAGGGTGTCCGCTCTAAGCAGGTTCTAATATATTGTGCAACAACAATCAATTATTAACCCTTTTGTAACTTTGTGTAACACAGTATATGATCAAAGACTGCTCATAGCATAATGTCCAGTCAGTCAATGCATCAATCTGGAATAATCTACATAGCTCTAAAACGACCTCGCTGAACAAAGGAGTCTGAGCTCAACTTTCAGAAGTAAAAAGCCTTCTAAGTGTCCGCTTATTATAGGCTTATTTTACAGTAAATGTAGGAAGTAAACTTTGGGACTTCAGCTGGTGTCCACGTAATAGAGGGGGTCCGCTTAATACAGGTTTCACTGAATCTCATAGTCAGTCATGGTTTGTCCGGTATTGTTGTAAAGGGCACTGATTTTCGATCCTTTGACAATAGTGGTATTCGAAAACCTGACACATATTTTGTTCACAAAAAGGTACAAAATCACAACTTTTAAGGACTTTAAACAACAATTTACGTAAAGGAGACATACAGCTAGTTCCTAGTTCAAGGGGCTAGGTCACAGTATTTTAGGTAATTCCGTTTATTTTTGTCAACTGTAAGTCCTAACTTTAAATTGACTGAGCGGGAGTCTTTTATTAAAAGAGTGATGATAAAGCAAGGCTATTACTCAAATTGACATAAACTTGAAAAAGCCGAGCTGCTAAGTTCCAAAATGCACGTTTACGCTAATGCAATCCATTTCAATTTTCTCCAATTTCGCACATACACACCCCCTTTTGTCTGTCTTGTGTTTCTTTTGAGTTCTTCTACAGTTTTAACTGGTTATCGTCATATCTCAGTTATTTTTATGACCAGCTGGTGAGATTCAAACTTGCCTTAAGTTGGATGACCTAGCCCCTTTAATTAATCAAACAATACTTTGCGAATTAAATAAATCAAGGAGATGACAATCGAGTTTTACACCGGTATAGTTAAAATTAATGTTTCTTTTACGATGACTTAGTCGATATGAAGACCCATCTTAAACACAGAGCGATCCTGACGGGATGAGCCCGTCAATCATATTCCTCAATCAGAAGAGGATGGAGGGTAAGACCAAATCCCCCATATAGGCATTATACCTGAGGCTACCCCTCTGAAGTAATTTTTAGACCACTCCCGGTTAACATTAGTGCGACGCCATGTTGCTCACGTGGACAGTCTTAGCGCCTTTACTCGTTTCCTCATCGTCAAGGAAAAAGCACGATATCCGTACGAGAACTGAGTACCAGGGAAAAAGTCTGTATCGGGGATTGCCTTTCTTACGTGCTCGTCATCCTTCTTGTTCTCTATAGAACACCTCACTGTTTCACGTCTTTGGGAAAGTAACCTTACAACACACTTGATAGAACTCACAAGAAAGCAGCTGGCAGAGCTAGCCTATTAAAATCAATCCGTTCGTCGATCAACCAAAAATGTGCTGAAACGATCTATAAAACAACGATCTTGCCTATTTTTTCATACTGCGGATCACTTGGTCTTGGTTGGTCAGACACCCGAAAAAGTCTAATAAACAACATTGAACAACGAAGTTTGAAAATTATCGGTAACAGCAATTTAAAACTACCATCTAAAACTACCATCAGCAGAGAACTTAATTCAGCGCAAAAGCAGTCAGTTTGCCTTTGACTTTCTTCAAAATAATGCCGGTTTGCATCCCCTTTAGCTTTAAGACCTTCTTTGAAAGATCCCTTCACTCTAAGAACACAGGGAACAATGGTATATCAGTGAAACTACCTAAAGCTCGCCTTGATATTGGGAAGAAGGGCTTTTACTATCAACTCAACGTGA